GCACTAGCCTTGCACACAGATTACAACCTAGGCTTAATTTTATCACTTTAAATTGGTGCCAGAAATACCTGTGAGATGGGTACTTTTCCTTTATTGAAGAGAGAAGCATTTTTTCAACGTTCTGGTCAGTAACTGTAACCAAGTCAGCTGGAGAACTTTTAATCATGACATTCATCTCGTTTTGTAGAGCTTCACGAATCATCTAAAAAGAAGTTTTTGGTAAGCAAGTAAAAAAAGATGTAAGTAATTTTAGACCAAACAAAAGGTAAATTACAAAAATAATTTCAAGCATTCAATCAGTCTTACATGATGTTCTTAAGTTTTTCTTTCAGAAATGTCAATGAAATAAGGTAATTTTAGAGTTATGACCTTCTAGGTAAAATATTACATAATTACATATCCTATTTTAGATTCAGGAATGTCTGAATCTAAAGCTTAACAATACAAACTGAAAATCCCAGCTGTAGTGCCAGTGCTTGCCCAGCACGCACACAGTCCTAAGTTCCATCCCTAGTGCCACACATGCACACACATGCATTCACGCACGCACACACATGTACATGCACACACACACGAGCACGCACACATATGCACGCACGCACACACACACGAGCACGCACACACATGCACACACATGCACACATATGTACATGCACACACACACACGAGCACGCACACATATGCACACACACACACACTGTATTTAAAGTGTAAAACAGCTAATATGAATCTGAATATGCTTTGGCAAACAAGGCTGTACTGCAATCTACACACATCCCATTCTTGGCACGAAACTAGTCCATACCTCTCCAGCTCGTCTTGCAAGGGTGACCGCATAGTCCATGCATTCCTGCCAGGGGTCTGCCATCTTCTGAACAAGTTCAACACAGGCAAGCACAGACAGTTACAAACTCTGCAAGCATCTCAACTAGAAACTCACCTCTGATTCACCTTCCCTGGTTTACAGTTCAATGCTTTCCCCAAGATATAGGCCTAGTAAAAATCATTTTGAATTATCACATATTTCACCTGCATAGCAGAAACCTTTTTTACTGTTATTGTTTTGAGACAGTGTCTCATAGTCTAGGCTAGTCTCAAACTCCTGATCCCCCTGCCTCTACTTCCCAAGTTCTAGGATTACAGGCATATGCCACTATACCCAATTAATATAAGAATTACCAAAGAGGGGAAAAAAAAGTTCTAGGAAGCTGTCTTCCAAAGTGTCCATACAATATCAAATTTTGGGGAGTGGCCATACCATGTCACATTGTTGGGGTGGTGGGGATCCAATTGAAGCTTAGGTAATAGATACGGTCAAGAAATAGTCTAAAGGTTAGGTGTATGACTAGGTGGGGAACACGATAAAGAGCCCCAGGAAGGCTGAAATAAAAGTAGTTTTGAAGACAAAGGAGCAAAAGATGTCTGTGTTAACTACATTCAGGAAGTGCTTTGCACATGGAATTTTTTTTTTTCAAAAAATAAGGTTGTAAAAGTGAAGAACTTAAGGTGCACAGATCAGAAACACTTTGCCAATGTTATATGGGCAGACTTTACAGAATACATACTCAATTCTGATTGGAAAGTTCCTTGCTTTCTGTTACAGCACTCTTGGTGAGGGGAGGGGGATTCCTAGGTCTAAAAATATAATTATAGAAGTAAAGGCACCATTTACTTCCTGGGTGGGCTTCAGGGAGGGGGAAGCATAACCATGTGACACCACAACTTGACCACACGCTAACTATTCCTAGCACAGAGATTCATAGAAACAGTCACACTCAGAAAAGGTGGTCTTTTTTTATAAAGCCACACTAACTCTGCTTCACAACTGAGAGCAAAGGACACCGTGTTCCTCTTTAGAAGCGTGTGAAATCTCTGCCTCATTGCACAGGCAGAGAAACGCGGGGACACGGAGTATCTACTGGGTGTTGCTTTGTTTTCCTTTCTACTTGAGACAAGTGGGCTTCAAGTTTCCAGACTGATGGCAGGCATATGCCATCATGACTAAATGCCTTTTCCCCATGATACAAGCATTCGTGTAACTGTGTAACAGACCCTTTGTGAGTTGTAAGCTGCTTAGAGCTCTTCAAAAATGCTTTGCAAACTTTATCATTCTTGTTCTTATCATTCTTCTTGTCTCCTCGCAGCCTGACACTTGGCTGGTCAGCTCAAGCCTCTTACAAGCCATCTTGTCTCAACACTAACAGAACACTGTTTCAAAAGACATCCATCCTATCTTCAAAGGACCATCCAGGGAACAGATGTCAGCCAAGAGATATCTGTACAAAAACTGCTGTTGCTCCTCAGCATTTAGTCAGTTCTAGGCATGCGCTATCTTTTCAACCAGTCTGAAGAGATTTCTTGAGGAAAAGGGGACTGATAAATGAATTTTTCTGAGATGCCCTGAAATGGACGGAGGTCCAGAAGAGGGAAGAAATAAAGGAAGTCAATTAGCTAACAGTTGTTGGGGTTTGTTCTTTTCTCGGGGACGGGACTGGGGCAATAATGGAGAACTAAGAAGCCTGTGAGCTGAAATCCAAAAATATCGCCAGCTATAGATCACAGACGCACTTTTTAGCCTTGTTGCTGGTAGTTTACAAAATGTGCCCCAAGTCTTGGCCCTTTTCCTAGCTAGTATATTTAATAAGCCCTTTTATTTCAAAGACCTCTTTGCCCCAGGACCTGTTTTTCGGGGGTCATAGTCTTCACTTTGGGAACAAAGCCATACAGACTTAAAACTGTTTCTGTCCTGTAAAGCCGCTCCACTCCCCTATCACCGCTCCAGACGCAAGAAATCACCGGATCTGGGCCTGTCCACCCCTGACCCAGGGAACTTGCCAGATAGGTCCGCAGAGTCGGGCTTGTTCTGCGACCCAGAACCTCAGCGATCAAGGAAGGTGGCCTGGCGAACCCGCTCGGCTGTTTCCGGAGTACTACGGAAAGCATACCAGGCAGGAGCGCCCGCCCGCCGCCCCGGCCCAGCATGGGGGCAGCTCGCCTGCAGCTCGCCACAGCCCGCGCCCCGGCTGTCGAATAACGGGGTGCGGGATGTAGGGACAGAAGGGACTTACCTCGCGTGAGCGCACAGCGATGCGCAACTGCCGGGGACGAGGGCTCGGCTCTTCCGGAGGTAACGGGTCTTGCTCGCACAGGAAGTCCCGCCCCTGAGAGCCTTCGGGCAGAGCCGGAACCTCTAGGAACCCCGCCTTCACGTCTGGACTCCGCCTGGAGTTGCCAGCTTGAATGTCCTTGGCACTGCAAAGCTTGGTCAGGTTGAAGTTGGTGTATTCTCGCATTCTCCTGCATTCCCTTTCTTTAAGAACCCCCTTTTTATTATGCAAATCTCCACTTTTGTCTTTTCAAGTTTTCCCATTTCCCTTTCTCCCGTCTGGTCCATCCTGCTCTTTGACACAATACATTGGTATTGTGATTGTCATTGTGCAGCTCTTATTATTTGATAAACCACACCTAAAGGAGATTTTAATTTTTGATAATTGGTTGTCAGCACTAACACTCTTCTTCTCAGCAATCCACTTAGATACCTATTGTTGTTTGCTGAGGTCTTGACATGCTACAGGCAGTTGTACTTCCCACCCACCCCAATGCTCAGTTCTAAGGATAAAGCCTAGGGCTTTGTAAATAGTATACAAGCACCCTGTCACCGAGCTACCTTCCCAGATATGAATTTTCAACAGTGTCCCATTAGGTAGCGTAGGTTGGCTCCTGAAGTCCTTGATCCTCATCTCACGCCTTTACTTCCAAAGTTCTCAGATTACAAGCGTGTGCCACCACATCAGGCAGCAGCAGTGTTCTTACATGCTTAAACATAAGTGTTCCAACAATTTCATGAAGAGTCTCTTTATTATACAGATAATGAAACTGAGGCTTGGAGAAATTAAGGGATGTGTCCCAAACTTACACAGCATGAACACAGCACCCTGACTCCAAAATCCACATACAAAGACCAATTTTCTCCATATGGGCAACAGAGGCTCACGTATGGCTCTTCAAATGTTTCTTCACAGCAAATGGTAGGTCATGATGACAGGTATGTTACTCTTAACTGGAAAATTCTACACATATGACCCTCCACACGAGGACTACAATGTCCCTGCATAACTCCTTGTGAATTCATTGCCTCTCTTGATTTAATCAAAAGACAAGAAATTATTAATGATGTGCAACATGTCTCAGCGATGAGTGGCAGGAATGGTGAACCCAACTTGTAAACAATTATCACAAAGAGCCAAAACTTGTCCTTGCTCTTCTGAGGAATGAAACCTTAAGAGACTGATTTGGAAGCTGGGCAGTGGAGGCTCATGCCTTTAATCCCAGCATTTGGGAGGCAGAGGCAGGCAGATCTCAGTGAATCTGAGGCCAGCCTGGTCTACAAAGCGAGTTCCAGGACATCCAGGAATATTACACAGTGTAGTAATAAGAGCGGCGGGGCTGCGTCCCCAGCACCCCGGCCGCCTGGCTAGCTTATGCCCTGAAATAACAACACACAAACTGTATTCATTTAAACACTGCTTGGCCCTTTAGCTCTAGCCCTTACTGGCTAATTCTGATATCCCAATCAAGCCATCTCTAATAATCTGTGAGCACTGGTCTTAGGGGGAAGATTCTAGCCTACGTCCATCCTGGGTCGGAGCTTCATCGCGTGTGTCTGCCCGGGAGCAGGGCATGGTGTCTCTCTCTGAGGCGTCTGCTCCCGAGAGGAGAGCTGTCGAGTCTGAGCTCACTTCCTCTTCCTCCCAACATTCTGTTCTGTTTACTCCTCCCACCTATGTTTTAACCTATGAGGGCCAGCCAAGCAGTTTCTTTATTTTTTTAACCAATGATCTTCCTCCATCAGCACAGAGAAACCATGTCTCAAAAAACAAAAACAACAACACTCTCCTCTGCCCCTCCCTCCCCTGCCTCAAAAAATCAAAAAAAAAAAAAAAACCATGAAAGAAAGAAACTAATTTGGATACCTCTATCAAATACTCTTGGTTTTTTTTTTAAGGTCTTCAACCATTTTAAAATAGAATAAAATCTTATCAAATGTCTGCTGACAGGCATAGATATGTGAGCAAATGAATTCTCTAGGCACGTGAAGAAGTGGCATCTTTAAATCTCTCATGACTTGGTAAAGCTGATAAAATCAATCTTGAAGGAAGATAAATGAGGGACTACATACAGGATTCGTCTACATCAAAGCTGTTGCTAGCTTCCTCCAGCAGATGAGCAGGAACTCCAGTTTTGTTCTGTTTGTCTGTCTATAGCAGCCTCAGCTGCTTCTTCAGAACCACTGTCAGGTAACTCAGGGATTTCAGCACAAGTGGTCCGTTCTGTTGCCAAGTGATTTCTGAACGGGAAGTGCACAGCAGTGTCTGATGTTCTGATTCGGATACGGCAGTGCTGCAAGCTGGCATCACAAAGCACAAAACCCTGCTATTGAGTGTATGAAAGTTGTTTCTGATGGTTGTAGAGACCTCCATACATGATGAGAGAAAAACTCTGAGATGATAAACTTTAAACAGAGAGAAAGAGACAGACAGACAGAGACAGAGAGAACGTGAAGTCTCTGTTGATCTTGGGTTTTACAGATCTGAAAACTGACACATTCTAGGTGTCATAAGGTTGATCATAAGCCACAATTAGAAAGACAGGTTTCCTGGCTTGCAATTGGCAGATTATATTCACTAAGAGATGCCTAGTTAAGTTTGTATTTTATAGATAACGTTTATACTGTGAGCCTCTGAATGGACATTGCTGTTTAAAGGAGTCAAATACTCCAGGGAGGCAATCATTATTTTTAAGATCAGGATAGCCATCCATCATCACACCACCAGGTCTTTTATGAATCCTGTTTTTTATACATGGGACTTAGTGGCATAAGAAAGAACAGATTTGTCTATCTTGTATCAGCAGAAAACAGAAGTTCCCTACTACTACAATACTATAGGCAAGAACATTGACAGGAAAATATTAAAGGCTTAGGCTCCAAACACAGCTATCTAATTGATATTTCAAACTACCAGTATGTATCTGTCAGTGTCAACAGTTTAAAATCAAACAAAACAGTAATAATAACTAAGGAAGCACAGTAAATGTGTGGTTAAATATAATTCCCACGACAACAATGGAGTTGGCATCATTATTTCCACCTTCTTAAAATAAGAGAATTGGACTGTGGGATAATTATTTTGTCTTCAACAACAAGAAAACAGGCAAATAGGGAAAGGCATATCCTTAAGACTGGTATTTCTTTTTAGGGTTAATGGCCACATTGTCTGTGGACAAGAATACAGACTGGTCATAAGTACTAAAAAATGCATCGAAAATTTCAGTCATAAATTTTTTATGATGCAAAAATGTATCCCATGAAGTTTATATAGAGGTGTGTGTGTGTGTGTGTGTGTGTGTGTGTGTGTGTGTGTGCGTGCGTTTGCAGTGTGATAAATTATAATCCAAAGCCTCAAATATGCCAGGTAAGCACTCTTACTAAACTGCACACCCCTGACCAAAGACCAATCGATTACTTTTTGAAGCATAGTCTTCATTTGAGTACTAGCTTGTGCTTTAACAATTTGTTTGAATAAGCATATGAAAGACATAGTGTATGTAGCAAATACAATAGGGTTTCTTTGCAGGAAAATGTAACGTAATCCAAATAAAACATTAAGATTAATATGGCAGAGAGAAGTCAAAGTCCATTTGGAAGGTTTGGGAAGCAGCGCTGGGAACGGGGAGGAGGCTGCTGCAGACACTGATGAAACATTTCACAGTAACGAGGTGGACTGTTTAAAAAGACAGCGAGGGAGAGACAAGCTTTCCAGATAAGTTCCCGTGCCTTTGGTGTGTAGTATAGAAGTCAGAAGCACACGCGGCTGTGAAAACAGCCTTGCTGTGTTTATTCAAGACAGGCTGCTTCCCAATGAGCTAGTGGGGAGGCCAGACAGAAATCTGCATGCTCATTCCCCGAGTAAGCATTTGCTACCCATTGTAAGGACAGCCTTTCCTTAAAACTCAGGATATACAAGATTCACTTGTTATTTCCATTGCTGTTCCTCATTAAGAGATTGTAAAATCATTACCAAACTAACAACTGCAAGGGTATCTTAATGCCCCTTCTCAATATGTACTGTAGCAGTCAGTGGGTGTTTACTATGGGTAGCATATGTGTGTGTTCTATATAACATATTTATATAATATAGATGTGTAACATATTACACACACAAATATGTAAAACATACAAGTATTAGAAGAAATACTCTCACCTCCACGTCAAGCCTTCGAGCAGATGAAAGGAGACTTTAGAGCAGGCATTGTTGATGCACGGTTTGAACCAGGGCAAGGATTAGGAGTGCTAGAGTTCTAGACTAGGGGAGCTTTCTCAGCTTCTGTGCTAAGGGTTCCTAGTCTCCTACCCTTGTAGGTCAGAAAAAGCAGGAACATTTCACATCCAGAACACATGGCTACTGTAAAAGGAGCCACAGAGGCTTCATATGCCTTGAGCTGTGGGAGAGAGAGCTGAATAATAGCCAGGGCTAAGAAACTATTCAACATCCCACTTTCAATAGCAATCGTTTTGCAAGCAGGAAGAGGCAGCATACAGACCTTAGCAAAGAAATACCCAAACATAAAGCCCAGTGCAGGAACCAAAAGCCCCAAAAGAAGCACGTTTAGGTTAGTCATTCTCAGAAACACCAGTCCCATCCTGAAAGCCAAATAGATCCCTACAAACATTAACGTCAGACTCAGAGGCCGAACTACTCTCTCTAAACAGACTGCTTTTTCGGGTGATCTGTGCTTGATGACCACACCAATTGATACTGGTGTAAGAATGAACAGGAGTGTAGACACAATCTTTAAAACAGGAACATGAAAGACACCTGCTAACCCTAATAGCTTACTGTATATGTAAGAATTGACAGGCATCATTATCAGGGCCAGGGATGTCGATGTGCAAGTCATCAAAATGGCCAAAGTGACATCTCCTTCCAGAAGGAGAGCAAAAAGATAGCCCCCACCTCCTCCTGGGCATGTGCAGGTCATTACAAATCCAAAAGCTTGTGCTTCATGCAGTCCCAAAATCTGAGACAAAAAGAAACCACAGAATGGCATCAGAAAAAACTGTGTCACTGCCCCGAGAACTACTGGCAGAGGTCGTTTCCATACGGTTTGAAGTACCTGGAACTCGATCTTGCAGCCAAAGGCACATTTATTTAAAAGGATCATCGATAAAACAAGCAGCAAGATATACTGATTGACATGCACTGGTGCCTGGAAGAGGCTGTCTTCCGTCTGTCCGAGCACTCTGACTTTAACATCTGTTATCTCTTCAATGAGTCTTTTGTGCCTACCTTCAGAAGTCCAGAGCTGAATGGTCATGTTCGTCTCTCCCGGGAAAGTCTTTAGGCTGAGGGTAAAGTCTGTAACGTCCCACGAGGTCTTGGTCACGTTGACCACCTGCAGCACCTTTGGATCTTCTACCTTCACAAAAAGGTAGCTGGAGTCTGGCCGTTTGTCCTTGTAACTGGACCTTACGATGACAGCTTCCTTTGTCTTTGTAAATGACAGTATTTCTGAATTTTGTACATTCAGGAAACTGAGAAATGACTTCCTTGCTTCTCCTGGGGTCACCAACAAAAGTAGGATTACAAAAGATTTTCCAAACATTGTGAAAAGTTTGATAAACAGTACGTGGAAACTCAAGATTTTTTTTTTTTCAGAAATAGACGGGCATTCTTGCAGGTCTCCAGTGGCAGAATGCATAAATGTGGGTTAGGCAACAGCTGGGGTTTGGTGGGTCAAGGTCCAAGAGGAGGGACCGTTGTGCTTGTAACGAATATAAAGCTCCCTAGTGAGTGACACAGCCAGTTTCTCTGTAGTTAAGGAAACTGAGAAGCCAACCCTTGCATTTAGCAGGTGTCACCACCACAAGCACCCACTGGATCTCTTTTCCTGAGTGCCTTATTACTTGGGGATAAAGTCTTAGAGCCATTTCTTTTTTCATTTTCTTTTGTCCTAAGGAAAACAATAAAAATAAAAGCAGCCAGAGGTATCTACGATAGATACTAATGCTTGGAGATCATTATCACTATCCCATCAAGTCTATCTACTTACATGCTGGTGTGACCAGAGAGTGAGTATTGGGGAGAGAGAAGGAGGGAGGTGGGTTGAGGGAGAGGAAGAGGGAAGGCTGTAGGGGAGAAGGGGGCAGACAAAGAGGGAATTAGTGAAGGGTGACATATGAAGCCAGTTATGAAAGACTAGAAGTCCCTTCCTGCCAAGGCTGTCATCCAACGGAGTTGCACAGAAGGAAAACAAACAACATGAGGTACAAATGTGCCAGTCTGCTCTGAACAGGAGCGGCTGAACTCCTAGCCCTTCCCTATCCCTGGCCCACTTCCACCCGTGGAAATGCTTTTTAAATAAACTGTCTCTTTTCTGACCACCATCCATGTGTCCATCTCTAGTCCAATTCCTTGTTCAGGGACACAAATAACTGGAAGTTGAAACAGCTGCACTATGCACCCTGACTCATGCCTATAACACTCGGGCCCTACACTGAAAGCCATAGTGACCAAGGGAAGTACAACTTTGCTCTCTTGACGTTAGTCATGTGGCTGCCATCAGTGACTACAAGGGCTAACCTCAAGAGCTTCCTTGATGCTAAGAGTTTTCTGCAATTCTAGAGCAATTCTATCCAGCAAAATAAATCCTTAGACTACCCTTGCTATATGTTGCTCAAAAACGTCTGGTGTGGTCACCAGGTAACTTGAGGACATAAGAAGGTAGCCTGGCTAGGGAACTGTTGCTACTGGGCATTTGGAATTCCAGAGTGGAAAGGCACTAACCTTAATTCTAATGCTCTAGTCTTTTACTGTGGGCAGCTAGGGCCACGGGCAGCTATCAACTAACCCAGACATGCCTCCGCTTCTATGGATAAGGAAAAGCAATTCACAAACTCAACTGTGCACTTCCCAAATGAGAGGATGCCAAGCAGTGAGAATTCAAATAAACTCATTACTACAAATGCATATTTTACTTTTGTGTTAGAATAGAAAGTAATGAGTGTCATTGTGGCATTTTCAGTTTGACAGATTGTTTTAGAAAAGTATGTAGGTGTCACTCGGCATTATTAATTTATTTCCATGTAAGACATTAAGAAAAACCAAAGACATATTTACCAGTGGCAAGAACAGGGACTAGGACTAAGCTCTGCTCAATGACAGCAGTAATTTTCCAAAGGAACTTTAAGAATAGAGTATCACTATGAATCTCTCGCTGGCTGTCCTGGAATTCACTATGTAGATCAGGCTGGTCCTAAACTCACAGATCCATCTTCTTCTGCCGTCTGAGTACTGGGATTTAAGGCATGGGCAGCCACCCGGTTTCTCAAGGAACGTTAAAGTGACAGAAACACCTGCCACTGAGAAGACGGAAGCAAGGGAGTCACAAGCTTAAGGCCAACCTGGGCTACACAGTAAAAACTTGTCAAAATGAGTAAAGAGCCCGATGGGATAGCTCAGTGAATAGAGCACTTACTGCCCGGGTGAACACCTGAGATTGATCCCCAAAACCCACATAGTAGTAAAGAACCAGATCCCCAAGTCATGCTGTGGCATGTGACTTAGAAGAGAAAATGACACGTACCCTTCAATATATGACCTAGTACCTTAAGTCACAACTTTGATGACCAGATCCAAGCAATATGAAGTATTTCTTCTCATGTACTTTAGATAGAGTTGTTATTTTGTTTCTCTTTCAGGTTCCCCCAACCTTTCTTCATACTGAAAAGTTTGGGACTGACACCTAAACACTGCAGTTGGAAGAATCCCATGGTCCTTTAGGCTGATGCCCATTGGTATCAGGGATTTAGTTCAACCGTTCATCTGCACTCCTCTGCTATGTTTTCTGCGTCTCCCAGGACAATTTTAATTGTCTGCCGGCAACAGAAACACCAGGGAGGATGGGGACAGTGTAACCTTACCGTTTCATTAGGCAAACTTACTCGAAGCCTTGGGTTTTCTGCTTTCAGAGTGATTTGGACACAGGGAGTTAGGGGGACTGAGACTCTCATCCACACCTTGTCCTCTTTAGACTACGCATGCTTTAGCTGCCAGTTTTTAGTACCCAGGATGTTTATTCCTGGCATCCTTCAGAGCTGCAGGCTCCACCACCTAGGACCTGGCCTTGCTTACAGGCAGTGTACTAACTTTGTCGGGCCCTCTGGATATCGCCTTGTTCCTTTTGTCTGATTAAGGAGAGAAGACATTTTTTCATCCTTTCTAGGTTTCAATTCCTGCCAGCCTCATTTGCCCTCTTCTCAAAAGGTATTATTTTTTTGGCATTTAGTTTTCATTCAGTTATATGGGCTGACCACCTATTGTGTGCAAGTAATTACAATTAATATAGGCACTGGTTGGAAAACTTTTTGGCATCTCAAAAAAACAAAACAAAACAAAACAAAACAAAATGAACCCAAACCAACTTGTGGTATATGGATTTTTAAACATTATTTCTCTCACTAGTGTGATAGTTTCCCATTAAACAGCTATTGGGACGTGGCTATACTGTCTGTGCACTTATTTGCAACTTGCCTTACAATTTTGTGTGACAGTTCTAAGTGTATGTCTACTTATCTTCACTGTACCTAAAATGGCAATTAATGTATCAAGTAGGTATGCAAGTAACTCTGTAAAGGAATGGATTCAGAACCTGATAAAAGCCATAAGTTATCACTGTTTATCACATGGACATGAAAAAGATAGACCTGAAGAAGACCAAAGGAGCATGTGAGTTTATTCTTTTAATTAAACCTAAAGTCATGAAAATTGGCACAAAAGGGGCGGCAATTAAAAATACTTTATTTCCTCCTTTAGTGCAGTCCTTCATACACTACAGACAGAAACATTCATTCTCAAGTATAGACAAAAAGCATTCCCCAAAAGGACTTATTTCAATTTATAGATAAAATGCAATAATTGCTGGTGTATATTTTGCTTTGGTGCAATGAAAGAGATTGTAACAAAGCAGTCTATTCATTGCTCTTCTCATTTCTCTATTCTCATACATCATACCAACAAAAACATGAGTCCTATTGGAGAAAATTCATTACCTGAAATATATTCAGTGCAATTACATGATACCAAGAAAATAACTTTCCCTTCTCAGATATGAGGTTTCTTATCCAAACCCTTGGAAGACTGAGTGAGAGGAAGGCTGAGATCCCACAATTCATGTGCATATTCCAATCACACATCATCATTTAGGTATACAGAAGGTTGTGTATTCTGGCCCCTTAGTCAATTAGGCTTAATCGTAGGGCCTGGTTAAAACAAAGATGACAAGTACCAAAGAATCTGCCACCTGCGTCCTCCTCTGCCATAAGAATGGAAAAACAGCAATAAAAATAATACTTTGCCATAACTACTAATACATAGTTCAAATTTAAAACACAAAACCTGGAACTTAGTAGAAAACAACTGATGTAAATTATGATCTAATAGAAATAAATTATAAAAAAGCAACTTCCAGAGTTTTTACAAAAGTATCTGTCATAAAAGAATGAATTCTGCTTGTAAATTCTGGCTCTAATCCTTGAATGACTATTACAAGTAAGAGTCAACATTTTTTAAATACCGCTCTTCATCGTTAAGATACTCCAAAATAACATTTCCTCCATTATGTAAAGGGCAATCCTCCTTGGTGATCCAGGTTTCCAAAGTATGATCCAAGGGCAAGGCTTCTCCTGAAGGGACGTGACACAGCCGCAGCTTCTGTCGAGAGAGAAACAAACCACACAGTGGTAGGGACACGCACTTGTGGCCAGAGCTGGAAGGAAGGGTGGTGGCTGCACGTTACCTTTGCCATCAGCTTGTTGTTCTCATTTCTGAGACCGGCTAGAGAGGCTGCGAAGTCCACCACCTTCCCAATGCTCCAGCGGAGGCAGAAGAACATGGCTTTGCTCTTCTCTTTGCTCCCCTTCGGTAAGTAAACCTGAAAGTAAATTCTCTCTGTCTGTGTAAGCAAAAGTTAACATATAGATTAGACACACGAGATAAGACATTTCTTTCAGCTAGTGGTCCCTTTCCTTTCTTCTTTTCGTCAAAGTAGGAAAACGCCATAATGATACAAGTTTCAGTGAGCAAACCAACGGTGTAGCCCATCTAACTAACTGTATGTCCCAAGGACCCAATCCCAAACTCTAGCTAGGTGATCCTGTGTTATGACAGTTGTGTGACCTGTTTTATGTTCAGGGCCTGGGGCAGAAGGAGCTCTGTCTCTTCTGTGTTGAGTTCCAGTGGTTCAGACCTGGACTGAGGCTTCCCCTCAGAGCCCCCAGCCACTCCTGAGTTAAGAATGAGTTCCACACAGACAGAGAGAAATTGGGGAAGCTGATGGGTCATTCAAGATCATAGAATCTTAAACATGGGCCACTGATCTGTTCTGTTTAGAAACAAACTGGTTTCTACTGTACTCCTTGGAACCCTGTTCCTGTCATCCGAGAAACAAGGCTTCTGATATAAAACACTGTTTTTATGTGAATGACTTCTGATATAAAACACCGTTTTTACATGAATGACTTTACTGCTTATTGGAGGCACCAAGACTTTTGAGAACAAAGAAAAATATTTATTGATAAAACAGTGTTTCAGAGATGGGATCTCTAC